GAAACAAAACAACAAGTGGGGTGTGGGAAATGGGACATAGAACTACGTGAGACAATAGTACTGGTAGCATCTTCCCGAGGCAAGGGATTTAATTGACTGTAAAAGCCCAGTTTCCACCCTTGCCGAACTAGGCTGGAATTTTCAGACACGAACGTAGCACCCCCAGTGGCTATTACAAGTTATACCAATCAGATTCCACCCATTACTTCCATTTGCTACAAAATCAAGGTCTATATTGTAATATAACGGGTCTTACCTCGCGAAAGGGCATAAAATCATGTGAGCACCTTGATTAAAAACATTAAAAGATTTGGAAAATATCTGTTGACACCCAGTGGACTGTACACATGCTTTGCAAATTCTGCAGTCGACTGAAATCTCATTCAGTTCATGCCCTTTTCTCGGGATGATGTACTGGTGACTGCTCTATCATAACTGTGCCATCTAATAATTTGGCGAGCAAACATCGTTTTGTTTTGCAATCACTTGGATTGACTCATGTAGACACAAATTAAAACAAAAAAAATCGCAATCCACAAATACAACACTTGATTATTTGCAAATATCTACCAACCCGTGCCAATTGTGCCAATTCAGAGGTTCCCTGTAGCAATAAACTTGTAATTAAATTCATTACTGTTGGCAGGTCACAATGGCTGGACTGGACCCCAGTGGAATGGTTCATGCATACATGTAAAATTTATTAGTCAAGCAGCCAAACACTAATGAAGATGGTTGACCATGTGTTCATGGTCTGGTGAACACAGGTCAATGGCCACTCGGTAACTCAAGACTCACATCTCATTGTTTTGTTTTATCTCACTTTTCATTTGATCTATTTGTCAAATTCACCTGAAACCCGGTCCCATGTTACACGCATGGCAGACACATGGGACACTCATTGCACACAATCGAAGATGGCGTCCAAACGCTTGGATGTAGCACTTTTGACCCCCTGATCGAAAATTATCAGTATCTTATGACAGTGTCACATGCAAAATATGGTAGCTATTGGACCTTTAGTGGCCGAGAAATATGGTGTTTTGTACCATTTTTATCACTTTTTGCATTCTGATGGTCTTCAATCCAATATGGCCACCAAATGACGCAACTTTTTACAAACTGCTAAGAACATGAAATGTTCAGCGTCTGATGCTGGTGCATTATGGTAATTTGTAATACTTTCTATGAAGAACTTTAGCAGATACGTAGTTTGCAAAGTAATTTTATTAGACGCTACCAATATCCAATATGGCCGTCACATCACGTGACTTATGACATAAGAGCAAGAAGAGAACTTGTTCAGCAACCAAAGCAAGTTACAACAGAGGTTGTTCAAGTGCCTTACCTGATAAGCAATGAACGCATGGGTCACCCGTTGCACACACATGGGTCACTTGTTGCACACGAGCTGCACACACGTGTTCAATGGGTGCTCAACCTGTGTGCAACCCATTGAGCGCACATGTTACATGCGTGTCACCCATGTTTTCAACAGGTGTAAGGGAATGAACTGCTTGGCAGTAGTGCATATTCTCACCCGGAACCCCACAGTTCCAGTCTTGATGGATGTCATTCTGAAAAAGCTGGAATATTGCTTACTACAGCATTAACAACATTCAGTCACTGAACATGCTGAAGGCCGCGACCAAGGAAGATCCAGGTCTTCAGCAACACATGCTTGTTATGGCAATATGCTTGTCATAAGAGGCAACTAACCAGATCGGGTGGTCAGACTAGCTGACTTGGTTGATGCATGTCATCGATCCCAATTGCGTGGATCAATGCTCATAATATCAATCACTGGATTGTTTGGTCCAGACTCAGTTAATTACAGACCATCGTCATTCAGCTGAAATATTGCTGAGTGTGGCGTTCAACAACAAGGGAACACTGAAGGCTGCTCACATGCACATTGTATATGAATATTGAAGTGTGTCCATGATTCATAGACTAACATTTAGTCTCTGAAATCTTATATTACACAATATCCTTCTTGACTCTAATAATAAAAATAGAGCTAGCTTGAGCTGGCTAGACTTGCTTTAGTATGCATTTCTAGATTATCTTTTTTAATAAAATAAATATATCCCATGCTTATGGAGCAGGACTACATGAGTCATAACACTGGTATTTACCGGAAGGTCAATACCATACAGCTGTTACACGTTTGCAGTCGGACAGTCATAAAAACCACACATCAATGTCCTGAAACTGGATCAAGCTTTTGCTTGAATTACACTGCTGTTAAGTTATTGTCAGGCTATACGTTTTGTGGACCATAAAATGCATTTAGATTGTCTGAGTGATGGTCAGGATGTCACAATGTTTTTGCAGTGTAGTATCATTGGGACATTGTCATGATTTTAGAGAATTTGATAGGGCATTTTTTCGATTCTTAATCAAAATGGATTCATTACATCATTTTGGATGACAATCAGTCAATGTCTTAGAAAATGGATCTGAAACCCTGTGTCGTGTCAGAGTACAGAAGCTAAACATGTTTCAACATGTTAAGTGACACTGCAAGCATAAACATGATATAGCTACTTAATTGATACTATTTTAGTATTTTGGTGTAATAAGTGCTTAGAAAATTGACAAAGGAGGTTGCTGGGCTTATTAAATCCATTCTCAGTAAGTTAGGTTTGTTTTCAGAGACTAAGTGGCTGGTTGAGAACAGACTTAGATCAAACATCAATGAAATTAATATGATAAATATGATACTCACTTTTAGACCTATTCTGCACTGTTGTTGCCTATAAAGAATTTGTAATACCCCCATTCCACTGTGGCGCTCTTACAAATCGCCATTCAGAGCGCTAAGATCTTCAAAAGCGTTAATGGATCGCTATCAGATCTCTATCTGATCCCAGATAGCTAAAAATGAGGAGACCTATGGCGCTCCCTCAGAGCATAGAGCGCAGAAGAGTGTCGCCTAGTGGATTAGAGGTATAAGATACATAAGAAAATATGGCCTGTCATGTAAATTTTCAGTCTTAGTAGGGTCGCTTACGAAGACTACTTTCAAGTTGGTCTCAATGTTTGGCAGTGTTAGTATGTGCTTGTTGAAGCACTGTGCTTAGTACCGTGAAATTCTTTACAATGATTGCTTAAATGAGTATATATTGTTTAGGATCAATAATATATTGTTTTATTTAACAAATAATCAGTAGCCTATATTCAGATTGAGTGGGTCATTAAATATGATATCCTTTTTTGATTGCTCTTGTGATTCTGTTTCATGTAGTTATAGATACTGGTGTAGGTATATTGTCATATAGTCCCCATGTTGTGGTTATACTTCTATAGATACTGATGGTGGTATATTGTCATTAGTCCCCATGTTGTGGTTATACTTCTATAGATACTGGTGGTGGTATGTTGTCATATAGTCCCCATGTTGTGGTTATACATCTATAGATACTGGTGCTGGTATATTGTCATATAGTCCCCATGTTGTGGTTATACATCTATAGATACTGATGGTGGTATATTGTCATATAGTCCCCATGTTGTGGTTATACTTCTATAGATACTGATGGTGGTATATTGTCATATAGTCCCCATGTTGTGGTTATACTTCTATAGATACTGGTGTAGGTATATTGTCATATAGTCCCCATGTTGTGGTTATACTTCTATAGATACTGATGGTGGTATATTGTCATTAGTCCCCATGTTGTGGTTATGCTTCTTTAGATACTGGTGGTGGTATATTGTCATATAGTCCCCATGTTGTGGTTATACTTCTATAGATACTGATGGTGGTATATTGTCATTAGTCCCCATGTTGTGGTTATACTTCTATAGATACTGGTGGTGGTATATTGTCATATAGTCCCCGACCGCCTCCGTGGTCTTGTGGTAGAGCGTCCGCCCGGAGAGCGGAAGGTCCAGGGTTCGATCCCGGGCCGCGTCATACAAAAAGACGTTAAAAGATTGTACTTGTTGTTACCCTGTCTGGCGCTCGGCATTAAGGGGCTAAAACAAGGACTAGTCGGCTCGGAGTCAGTATACTGTGTCTGAATGGGGTATTCATGTTAAACTGCGGCATGGTATCTCAGTGAGCTAGCACTATAAATCGGCATCAGTGCGGACTAGTACAAGCAGCCACACACACACATACACGTGCTTGCACATCGCTATATAAGTGCAATAATCTTGGACGCGACGTTAAACCCAAATTCACCTCACCTCACCTCATATAGTCCCCATGTTGTGGTTATACTTCTATAAATACTGATGGTGGTATATTGTCTTATAGTCCCCATGTTGTAGTTATACTTCTATAGATACTTGTGGTATATTGTCATACACTCCTCATGGGAGAAGTTTGCAGGGATCACACAGATTTTAAATCCACAGTTGTCTGGGTTATGTTATGCTGCCTTCTTGGTCTAGTGGGTAGAGTGTCTGCCCGGAGAGCAGAAGGTCAGGAGTTCAAGCCCCTGGTGCATCGTACCAAAATACAGTACTTTTTACCCTGCCTGGCGTTCGGCATCAAGGAACTAAAACAAGGTCTGCTCAGCTCAGAGTCAGTATGCTGTGTCTGAGTGGGGTATCCATGTTAAACTGTTGCATGGTATCTCGGTGGGCTTGCTAGCACTATTAAACATGCATTAGTCCGGACTAGTATAAGCATCCAGAAAGGTGCATGCAATCCCCTATATACAGTGATATACATGTAAATGCAATAAACTTGAAAGTGATGTTAAACCTCATCTCGCCTCGCCCCGCCCCGCCCCGCCCCGCCTGTGATGTGCTTGCAGGAAACACATGGGTAAGCCCCTAGGTAGAAATAGTTCCCATTATCCCATCCTTATATAAGAGGCAACAAAAGTGCATCATGGTCAGTCTGGTTGAAGGATTGCATGTTTTCTAAAATGAACTAGGTGGGACCTTGCTCCTGATATCAATCATCGATTTGGCAGTATCGATTAGTTACAGGCCAATGCGATATAGGTGATGTTTGATTAACAAGCACTCTATGTTTACAGGGCCTTGAACCAGGGATGCTACCTGAGGTGGACAACCTGGACGAGATGATCCTCGGTGACATCTTCCTCGGCGTCAGTCACATCAACGACCAATGCAAGAAGTACGGTGCTGACTTCCAAGAAACATTGCCAGTAAGTTGACAACCCTTGGGGACTCTGGGTTAGAATTTGTCCCCAGCAACCTGTGCTTGTCTACCTGAGGGGATTCTGGGTTAGAATTGGCTCCAGCAACCTGTGCTTGTCTACCTGAGGGGATTCTGGGTTAGAATTGGCCCCAGCAACCTGTGCTTGTTTCCCTGAGGGGATTTGGGGTTAGAATTGGCCCCAGCAACTTGTGCTTGTCTACCTGAGGGGATACTGGGTTAGAATTGGCCCCAGCAACCAGTGCTTGTTTCCCTAAAAGGAGAACCAGGGTTAGAATTGGCCCCAGCAACCTGTGCTTGTCTACCTGAGGGGATTCTGGGTTAGAATTGGCCCCAGCAACCTGTGCTTGTCTACCTCAGGGGATTTGGGGTTAGAATTGGCCCCAGCAACCTGTGCTTGTCTACCTGAGGGGATTCTGGGTTAGAATTGGCCCCAGCAACCTGTGCTTGTCTACCTAGGGGATTCGGGGTTAGAATTGGCCCCAGCAACCTGAGCTAGTAGTAAGAGTCGACAAGTGGTTGGGTTATCAGAATCGGTGATATCAGTCACTGGAATGTCGATTATTTACAGGCTGCAGCTCTATAGCTGCAATATTGCCAAGTGTGGCCCAAAACAACAGGAACTTGAAAAGCATTCTGCATATGGACACACAGACTCATGGCCATTAAACATATGTTTAATTCTGAGGCTCTTGGTTTATTATCCCCTGCCCCAACGAAGAAATGGGTTCTGTGCGTGCGTGCGTGCGTGCGTGCGTGCGTGCCGAAATTGTTTCCAGAAACCGTTTAATATTTCTCTACGAAATCAGACTCATGCTGAACTGGTGCCTTTTGCTATTTAGGAATTTTATAAAAAAATAATTTTTTACGTTTCCATGGCAACAAGTTGGACTTAGGTTCTTTAAGGGTGCTGTTCGTTTCCGGAGCGTAACTCAAAAACCGTTAAATAATTTCTTACAAAACTTTGCATGTCTACTAGGCACATACTGAACTGGTGCATTTTGCTATTTAGGAATTTTATAAATTTTTATTTTTTACGTTTCCATGGCAACAAGTTGGACTTAGGTTCTATAAGGGTGTTGTTCGTTTCCGGAGCGTAACTCAAAAACCATTAAATACTTTCTTACAAAACTTTGCATGTCTACTAGGCACATACTGAACTGGTGCCTTTTGCTATTTAGGAATTTTATTATTTTTTATTTTTTGTTTCCATTGCCATGATTGCAACAAGTTGGACTTAGGTTCTATAAGGGTGCTGTTTGTTTCTGGAGCGTAACTAAAAAAACGTTCAATAATTTCTTACAAAACTTTGCATGTTTACCAGACACATACTGAACTGGTGCCTTTTGCTATTTAGGGGTTTTATAATTTTTTATTTTTTACGTTTCCATTGCAACAAGTTGGACTTAGGTTCTATAGAGTAGAGTTTGTTTCCGGAGCATAACTCAAAACCCATTCAATACTTTCCAACAAAAACTGTGCATGTTTACCAGACACATACTGGACTGGTGCCTCTTGCTATTTAGGAATTTTAGAAATTATTATTTTTCACGTTTCCATGGCAATAAGTTGGACTTAGGTTCTACAGGGGTGGTGTTCGTTTCCAGTGTAACTCTAAAACCGTTAAATACTTTCTTACAAAACTTTGCATGTCTACCAGGCACATACTGAACTGGTGATATATAGCACTTTTAGAATTTTGTATTGTTTATGTTTCCATGACAACAAGTTAAGTAGTATAACAAAAAAACTGTTAAATATTTCCTTGCCAAACATTGCATGTCTATATATAAAGTGCATACTGAACTAGTGCCATTTGATATTAAGGAGTTTTAGAAAGGTTTATTTTAGAATTTCCATTGCAGCTATTTTGACATGGGCTAAGAGAAATGTTGGGTCAGTTACCTGGTTTGGGACCATAACGTGTTAAAATGGGCAGGGGATATAGATGACTTTGTCAACTATACGCTTGTTGTTAATTGTTTTGTGGTGACACATCACAACGACTCTACTATTTTGCAGTGATATAACACATTGCATATCCTATTTCCCTGGTGATGGTGTTTGAGATTTACTGCCAACATTGGGAGGGTTTATTATTTTTATTAGGGTTAAGGTGTACACAGGTGAAGGTGGGCACAGGAGGTGAAGGTGTGCACATGAAGTGAAGGTGTGCACATGAAGTTAAGGCGTGCTTTGGTTAGTTGGTTTGTTGTTTTACGCCGCACTCAGCAATATTCCCGCTATATGACGGCGGTCTGTAAATAATCAAGTTTGGACCAGACAATCCAGTGATTGTTATCATGAGCATCGATCCACGCAATTGGGATCGATGACAAGTATCAACCCAGTCAGCGAGCCTGACCACCCAATCCTGTTAGTCGCCTTTTACAACAAGCATAGTTGCCTTTTACTGCAAGCATGGGTTGCTGAAGACCTATTCTACCCCGGAATCTTCACACGGGTTAGGGCGTGCACAGGAGGTTACACACACTCACACACACACTTACACACACTCACACACCACACATTTATTTATACAGGCCTATTTAAGGGAGAAACATTTGATTTCTGGGGTGGGGTGGGTGTTCAATTTTATTTTATGGATAGTTTGTTGAGAAATGTGCCTGTAGGTAGTGGTGAAAAAAATGAATAGTTTGTTTTGTAGAAAATACCCAAAGGTCCAAATTTTTGTGTTAATAGTGAACATGAATAGATACTACCTTGGCTTATGAACCAATGGAGTAATTATGTTGTATAATCATGAAAAGATGCTGTTCAGAACTTGTATGACTTGTCACATGGTGTCTGTCCCTGTCCTGTAGGTATGTGTCTGTTCAGTTGTTGGTAGATCTGGAAACCCAATGTAATGAGATGTCCGACACTCCTCTGTCTGCCAGAGGCAGTGGCACTTGGAGATACATTGATTGAGACAATCTTAGAAAGTCAGGTATAGGTCTTTATCAGACAGGGCAGCGGGGTAGCCTCGTGGTTAAAGCGTTGGCTTGTCACGCCGAAGACCCGGGTTCGATAACCCTTTTTGGTACAATGTGTGAAGCCCTTTTCTGGTGTCCCCTTCTGTGATATTGCTGCAATATTGCTAAAAGTGGCGTAAAACCATACACACTCACTCACTCACTCACTCACTCACTCACTGAAAATCAGCTTAGCGGAAGCATCAACAGGTGAAAAAGAGATAATCTGAAACAGTGTCAGCGCTGAGGTGGTTGTGTTTTCACACACACACACACACACACACACACACACACACACACACACACACACACACACACACACACACACACACACACACACACACACTCCCTCCCTCCCTCTCCAATCTGATACCTTACTCACAATTCGGTATGTATCACGCATGTGCTCTTATCTGTAGTGCGTAAGCCATCTTTTTAATAGACAGGATGGCCAAATAAACCTGGCACACTGACACTGATTAGATATTCTTCAGCTTTTACTTCAAAAACATACAATAAGGCTAAATATTTTTTTACAAGAAATATCTTCCAGCAATGTATTTTATGTGGCTGGCAATTTTCATTTTATCCAACAATCTGAAGCATTTTTTTTTTTTTTTAGCTAAGCTGGGACAATTTCATTGGATAAAAAACATGCACGCATGCACGCACACAAACAAGGTCCACATATTTAAGTGTAACACATTTTTCATTAAATTTGTAATGTCGTGGCAACAGGTTGCAGAAAGTGCAGCGTTAAACAACAAACAAACAAAATATCACCATGATCACAAATAACTCAGTAAAACCTTTTTACTACACTGAAATAACATGGAACGCAAAGGAGGTCAAGAGCTGTCAACATTCTTGCTCAGGGGGGTTATAGGTAGTTCACAAGTTATTTAATCTGTAGCGATAAGGGGCCAGTGTTAGTCTTGACTGACCATGACCTTTATACGACCTATGACCGATAATACTGGGTTGTTGTCCACTGTTAATCTCCCAGACCCTAGAAAATAAATTGAATCCAACTCAAGTCTATTTATTTGGGCAGGTCTGGATGTTAAACACTGTTCTTGGCTCCATTTGGAATTTACTTTTTATTTTGTAGATATGTATTTTTAAATAAGATAAGTATTTCTGGGACTAAATGTTAATCCAGTAATACTAATAGCAGGTTCAGTTTGATCCAGTTTTATCCAGTTTCATCTGGTTTTATCCAGCACCACAGAAATACTTCTGGTGACCCCAAGTGTCAGCATGCCACTTGAATACAAAGACTTGATAGCTAGCAACTGTTGACTTTGGTCAAGAGTTGTGGCCAGCTGACTGAATATTTGACATAGTTTAATATACAAACCAACATGAAGAGCATCAGGTTACCAAGATTTTGAGTGGTCATACTTCACCATATGACTTTTGCTTGTAAAGTTGTTCCACTTTCTGGTTTCCCCTACCCTGAAATCTAGTCCCGTGGATTCGACTGAGGGGTCCCCCTTTATGTGGTGATTACTACCACTAAGCTGTGAGTCCCGGATTGCTTTCAAAGGTTTTTTTCATCTATGGATATATGACTTTCAAAAAATCATACTGAGATTTTGCCACCCCAGGTGGTACCGCTTTATAAAATTTTGGGGTCTGGACCATGGACTATTAAAATTTGTTGACCCCATTGAAAATATGAGCTATTGGATGTTTTACAAGATGTGTGTCTGTGTGTCTGTGTGTCTGTGTCTCTGTGTGTCTGTCTGTCTGTGTGTGTCTGTTGGTGGAAGCTCGCCCTTATCTTAAATGGTATATCAAAATTCTAAAGCATTCCTCATGTTCCCTCACAGTAACCAATATTTGGATCATAAACAACAGCTGTTTGTTTGAGAATGTTACCAGCAAGTACGCAGCAATATGTGAGTGATTTGTACTTGCATGTAATTGTTCCTTGTCTATTATTACTTCTAATTTCAGGGTAGAATAGGTCTTCAGCAACCCATGCTTGCCGTATAAGGGGACTGCTTGTTGTAAGCGGCGACTAACGGGATCGGGTGGTCAGGCTCGCTGACTTGGTTGATGCATATCATCGATCCCAATTGCGTGGATCGATGCTCATGATATCAATCACTGGATTGTCTGGTCCAGACTCAATTATTTACAGACCGCCGTCATATAGCTGGAACATTGCTGAATGCGGAGTAAAACAGCAAACCAACCAATGAATTATATCTTTCAACTCTGTTTTTTTTCCGACAAAATAATATGCTAATAAGAGCCCCCTATTTCTAATTTTGAGCGTGCCCTGGGTGCTTATTACGTCGAATACGGTACATGTATGAATAGTTTTACACTTCATGAATACATGAATACCATGTACCACAATTTGTGGAAATGACATGTATATAATACAATACGGTGAAGATTCATTCTTCTTTTTAATTTAAGTTCTGTCTTTCCGAAATACTTTTCATTGCATCCACTACAAACAATCAAGTAAATAACATTTCTGGTATAACTAAAATTTTATAAATTCTTATTTTATGTTTCCATTGCAACAAGTTGGACTTAGGTTCTATAAGGGTGGTCTTTGTTTCCAGTGCGTAACTCAAAAAACGTTATATACTTTCTTACCAGACTTTGTATGTCTACCAGGCACATACTGAACTGGTGCCTTTTGATATTAAGGACTTTTAGAAATGTTTATTTTAGAATTTCCATTGCAGCTATTTTGACATGGGCGAGGAGAAATATTGGATCAGTTACCTGGTTTGGGACCTTAACGTGTTAAAATGGGTGGGGGATATAGATGACTATACGCTTGTTTCAGTTATTTCAAGTGGTTGGAAAGCCTGAAGTGATGCATTTCCCACTTTGCTGAACCCTGCCAGGATGAGTATGGTGCTGACAAACCTAAAAACATAATCAGGACGAATCTGGGATTCACTAGTTCGGAAATTGATGATGTCACTTATTGTGTTTCAGATCATGTTGACACACGGCATGTGCCATCTCCTCGGCTATGACCACGAGACAGAAGAACAATGGCGGAAGATGTACTCCAAGGAGCTCCACATTCTGGACGAGTTCAACAAGCTGACTGGCAAGACGTGCAAGCCTTTAACTGCAGTGGGGCACTGATCGAACAACCTCATCAGCAGCCAACTGAACACACCCAGTGGGTGGAATCTACAGAAGGCTGATCGCCAAGAAGTATTAAGAGACCTGGAAGCCGATGTACAGAGCGATCTGAGCACTGAGGTGATCGTTACTCCCATACCTCAACATGGACTTATGTCGTAGTGCTGAGGTTATATTGTACAATGGCACCCCGAAAAATAGTCGCATTTAAAGGGGGCAAATGTAACGCTTAAAGATATCTGGAGTAATCCCAATAATTGAAGACACGTGTTCAGATATGCTGCAAATTCAGGCATCTTCCCCAGGCAAGAGAGTTGACTGACTATTAAAGTCCGGTTTCCACCCTTGCAGAACCAGGATGGAATTGCTTGGCTCCATCATAGTGCCACCTGTGGCTAGTACGAGGTATGTCCATTCTATGCCTCTCCTTCTGGACCAATCTGATTCCACCTCTCATATCACTTGCATTTGCTTCAAACTAAATGGCGGCACCCAGTCAAGATGATCTGATCGATAATCAAGATATATATTGTGATAAAACATGTTTTGCATCACAAAGTGTATCAAATCATGAGAGCACCCTTATTATAAACATGAAAAGATTTAGAAAATATCTGTTGACAACGAGTTGGTGATGCACATGCTTTGCAAACTGCAATCAACCGAAATCTGCATGACAGTTTTACGAACCGTATTTCGATTTCGTTGCGTGATTTTGATTGGACTATGCATAGACTCGTTAGTCCAGCCAAAATATAACTCCATAATTGACGCCTGGTTCGGCAAGGGTGGAAACTGGACTTTTATAGTCAGTTAACTCTCTTGCCTCGGGAAGATGGTTTCAGGGGACATGTCCAGTATAATCTTGATTAAAGAATTCCACTTCAGTCAATATTTCGGTTTCCAGATCTTTTGATTTAGTTCCAGGAGATAAAACAAAAATTCAAGATTGTTGAGGGGCTGACCCTTTCATGCACAGGTGGCATTTGGACATTATTTCGGAATAACAAACAATAATCCAACCTCTCTCCTCCTTCACCCCAAGAATATTTAATCCTTGTACCCTAATAGCCTGTGGACACGGTATATATTTTTATTTAATTGGGCCCATTCCACGAAGTGATCTCAGCACTACGATTGTCGCAGCTCTATGTGAAAGTATAGGAGTTACAATCGTCTTAGTGCTAAGATCGCTTTGAGAAACGAGGCCCAGGTCTTTAAAATATATAGTGTATAGCACCTTCATCCATTGGTTTGGTTCTGGGTGATGCTTTGAACGTATACCAACATACTGCATATGGATTAAAACAATGGTAGGTGGGTCCGGCTGGTTGGACACAATGCACCTACGCTGTGAGTTACAAGTGTGTTTGGGCGGTGGGGTAGCCTAGTTATCAAGACGTCCGCTCGTCACGCCGAAGACCCGGGTTCAACTCCCCACATGGGTACAATGTGTGAAGCCCATTTCCGGTGTCCCCTGCCATGATATTGCTGGTATATTGCTAAAAGCGGCGTAAAACTATACACTCATTACATGCGTGTTTAGGCCTCACTTGTTTTACAGTAAAATACCTGTTGGGTAGGTGGGAAAAAATTAGCAATTCAATATTTTTTTAGTGTCTTCCAGGTCAGCTGGTTTAAAAAGCATAGAAATGGTTTCAGTGTATGAGGAAAGCCTTCACCACAGCTGTTGCTGTCAGCATTGCAAACATGAAGAAATCAAGCGGGAATACTGTATGCATCCTATCAATTTCAGGAACAACAAAAAAACAACTTTTTGTTACAATCGGCAGATCTGTTAAGCAAGAGGAAAAAAACGTGTGGCCTTTAGAGTTTTATGCTGTAGCATGCAGTGTACAACCAACTGCCTTTCCCTTTGTGTTGATGATCAGTCTCATTAATATCGTATATGTAACACTCCGATTCCATACTTCCCAAATGGATCAGTTTGGCTTGGTGAATTGATGGCATGTCATCAAACCCCGATGGCGTGGATCAATCACTGGATTGTCTGGTCAGGCCACCATGGTATTGCTGGAAGACCAAAGTCTTCATTATAATAACATTTTAGAATATCTTGTCAGTACAGTTAAGTCCCGTTAATCCAACATGGTTGGTTGCATATGATTATGTCGGATTAACGAGTATGTCAGATAAACGAAATTAAGTGCACTGAGTACACTGAACACTGTGTCGGATAAACAAGACTGATTAACGAGTTAATTCGGTAATTTGTTGCATGTTAGTTGTGTCGGCGTGCGAGACTGTCAGATAGCACTGATTTATTTGGTTCACATCATAAGTGTCTGATAAAGCTGATTGTCAGATAAACGTGTGTCGAATTATCGAGACTTGACTGTATTTAGTTTTTGAAGTGCGTACACAATCTAATGATTGTGGGAACTTGTATTGGTTGTGACTAGTTCTTTTTGATCCACACCTATGTCCAATATAAACGCCAACAGGTGTATTATTTGGTCGTTGAAGTACCGGTAACAGCTACCATTTTTCTGAGCCAAAACATGTTTGTAGTTTTTTAACCCACCTGTACTAGAAATGAAGGAGACCAGTGAGACTGCCCACATCTGCTTCATATATAGATCTATACAAGAAGAATCAGAGTGACAAAACACACTTCACCAAAGATTGTTTGACAAGAAGTATGACTTCAACTTTCCAATAGACAACTTTCCCTTTATGTCGAGCAATATTCCTGCAGCTTACACAACTTTTAAGGTACAATTGAGCATGTTCTTTCAACTGAGATTTCATCATAGACTCTTGCTCAGAAGTTGTTTGATTAAGGTTACAACATTCAAGGCCTCGGTAAAACTTTCAAAACATTTTATGGAAGACATTTCTAAATTTGACACTTCAATGAGTCCAATTCCAATGCCCTATTTTGAGTTGTGACAAATATTCTCAGTTTTTTTCTGCTGAATAATTGACTTGCCTCTGCATGTGTTTGTGACAGGTGCCACCAGTGGGGCAGGATACGCTTATCTTTTCACGAACACCTGGTATCATCACTGTTTGATAATAATTCATAAACTCATGCTCATGATAGTGAGACCCGTGAAGATCCGGGGTAGAATAGGTCTTCAGCAACCCATACTTGCCGTAAAAGGCAACTATGCTTGTCGTAAAAGGCGACTGACGGGATCGGGTGGCCAGGCTCGCTGACTTAGTTGATGCATGTCATGGATCCCAATTGCCTGGATTGATGCTCATGATGTCAAACACTGGATTGTCTGGCCCAGACTCGATTAATGACAGACCGCCGTCATATAGCTGGAATATTGCTGAGTGCTACGTGAAACAACAAACAACAACAACAGAATCATACAACGGACTCTGCTTTTGAATATAGAATGGGTTTGGTTGCTGTTATTTAAATCACCTTGTTTATTTTCAATCTCAACTATGACTCTTAAACAATGAATATAAAAGCTGACGTTTGAAATACTGTTAACAGTTTTGCAAAAACATGTAAGTGCACAAGTTTCAGTGCAGAACTGTTTTCATTGATTTCCCCTTATCCTCAACAGTGAGCAGTGCTCATCTCATTATGTTCTGGTCCAGTGTAATGACATCATGGTTAAAAATGAATATGACGCAGCTGTCTGCAGGTGCTATTCTCAGTCGTTCCTTGTGTCACGACGTTTGTGTGTATGATGATATAAATGGTTTAGAATGCTAGAGTGATGAGCGTTTTGCAGGGTTTTTGTGGGGAGCTTTTTCCTATTTTGACTTGTATTTTGTGGTTGTTGATACACCAGCAATAAAAAATATTTGTAACCATTGTGTCCTTATTTCTTGTACATCATGTATGCAGGTGAAGTCCTTCCGAAGATTATCGAGTGAGGTTTTCACTGGTGTCTGTTGATGAAGTCCACTTGGAAATTACGAGTGAAGGTTTCACATGATTGTGTTACTGGGTGAATTTGGGATAGAATAGGTCTTCAGCAACCCATGCTTGCCGTAAAAGGCGACTATGCTTGTCGTAGAGGCGACTAACGTGATCGGGTGGTCAGGCTCGCTGACTTAGTTGATGCCTGTCATCAATCCCAATTGCGTGGATCGATGCTCATTATATTAATCACTGGATTGTCTGGTCCAGACTCAATTATTTACAGACCGCCGTCATATAGCTGGGATACTGCTGAGTGCGGCGTTAAACATCACAAACAAAACCTGTAGATTCCCGGGCCAACATATTGTTTCAGTTTCGAAACTGATAGATACCAATCTGTTATCTCCAATAGTCTCCATCATCCCTATGTGACTGTGGTGAAGGTGGTGAATATGACACAAGGCAACATATGGGCATCTGATTGGATTTGGATGGTTCTTACCGTAAATTTTAAAAGGGAATCACTAGTCCATACATTGTGCTTCGCTGTTCGAGGCAGGCTTCAAGTTTGTGTAGTGAGTGATTGAGTTAAACGCCGCTTCAATCTGTATTCGGGGGCACGGGTGTCCCAGTCGTCTAAGGCGCCGCGATTCGCTGTGCAGTGTTGCGTCCCTTGGGCACGCCAGAAACCTATGATTGTGGGTTCGAATCATGGTTCGTCCCGATTATATTTCTAGGTTTGTCAGCACCATACCCGTGCTCGTGGGTTTCACCGAAGTGGTAAACGCCTGACCTGCATCACTTTGGGCTTTCCTCCCACATTAAGCTGACACGCCGTGATATAACTGGAATAATGTTAAAAGCGGCGTTAAACCCAACTCACCCACTCACAACTGAGTTATGGGGGAAGGCAGGCATGTGTGCAAGAAAGTGGTTAAGCAATTCCCCCGAAGCCTTACAGAAAATACCCATAGGATATAGGGCTAAAAAGGTTCATCATGGTAGGGATGGGATGCCAACTACAAAAACACGTGGTTTGACGTGGGTTGCTAAAGATGACGAGTTTAGCTTCCGTAGTACTAGTACACAGCCGTTGGATACTTACAAAGGGAGGTTTCCTCAGGAAATGGCTACGGTATTCGATCCGTTAGGATTCCTTGCTCTTTTCATCATCAAAGCAATAATTATCATGCCATGACTGGCTCAAGGGTTTTGACTGGGATGAAGAGCTTCATGAGCTTTGGCTCAATCAAGTGAAAGAGTTGGAGACTTTTAGATTCCCGAGATGCTTGCAACTCAAGTTCAACATTGAGAACAAGAGATTGCATGTAAAAGAAAGTGCATTTGGGACAGTTGCATACAACATGACTACCTATCGAAGTGGGACAGTTTCTAGTTGCTTAGTGGCATCTGAAATCAGTCAATATTCCCCGAATGGAGTTAATGGCAGCGGTATTCGGAGTTAAGTTGATCTTGATTGTAGTCAAAGGTCTTGAAATGGATATTGCTGGTGTGATTCTTTAGTGAGATAGTCAAAACGTGCTGCGTTGGATAAAAAAACAGCCGCAAATTATAAACATTTGTAGCTAATTGGATATCCTTTATCCAAGAAAACACTATTCCAAGTCAATGGAACTACGTTCCTTCTGTTCCAAATCCAGCAGATATCCTTTTTGGGGTA